ATGTTTTTTGTGCATAAAATTTAAAAGTGTTTATTTATGAAATTTGAATTTTTAACTAAAAAGTGGTGTGAAGCCAAATCGTATAAAAATTTGACAAATTCTTCTGGGTGCTAAAATTTGGACTCTGAATTTCTTATATATATTTTTTTTAATTTGCCTCTATTAAGCAATTTTAACATTCTTAGCCCATTCAACATCGAAACGGGGGAATTAGCTGATAATAACCGTAAAGAACGCGACTTTTTGGGACTTTTTAAGAAACAACCAGCAGCAGCGCAACCTGTGCTAGGGTAAGTAACAAAAATAAAACGATAAAAAAGAAATAAAAAAAGCAATTCAATAAATGAGAATCAGCGACNTCTAAATCATGCGAATATACACATGTACTCATTAACGCTATCAATTTGAAACGGAAACTAAAAAAAGTGAATTTTGATAAGCATAATTTTATTTTATTTTTATTTGCAACCTTCAAATTACAGCGTAAACATAGGCGGCGGTCTCGGTGCCGGTGTTGGATATGGCGCAGCTAATAGCGCTTATGGCGGTGGTGGGTAAGTGCTAACTAGTGCAAGGGATTTTTAATCGGAATATTGAATTAAATGAATACATAATTTGGCTTTTGTTTGTTTTGCGACTTGGCGATAATAATTAGACATTATGGCATCAAGACAAGTCATGCTGGATATGGACATGGACATAACCTTGGTGGTGGTGTTGGCGTGGGCGTGGGTTACGGTAAAGGCGGTTATGGTAGCTATCGTTCTGGTGGTTATGGCGGCGGCAGGTATGCGTGTGTGTTGATGTCTCTTCAAATTATAATATTTGAAATTTTTGTTTGAAATAAATTTACAGTGCTTATGTGGTTCATGTATCGAATATTTTTTTTTTCAGCTCTTACAGCTTTTCGCCGTCGCATAATGTATTTGGCGTTAAAACTGGGTAAGTTCAGTAAGAACATTTTCTTTTTCGTATTTTATGTTGTAAATTTGCAATTCTACTGAGCACCGAATGAAGTAATTTTTTAAACAAAAAAAATATATTTTATTCATTTTTTCATAACAGCTCAAATATCCAAATCAGCAATGACTTCCTTATTCACGAACGCCCCCAAATACCGGCCTACGCCAACTGTCCAGCATACCGATTACCCTCGAATATGTTGGTGAAATGTCGCGACAATCAATGTGAGGTTAGCTGTCCGGCGCAATACAGCTTTCCCGATGGCAAAACATTGCTCAAGTTTGCCTGCATAAGTGGCTCGTGGATAGTACGCGATGCAGATATAACAACTGTGCCGCCATGTCAGGGTAAGTGTGCTAAAAAAAGCATGGAAATTGAGTCAATAAATGCCTCATTTGCTCTCAGCTACCTGCATACCACCCTGTGAGAATAACGGCATTTGTGTGGAGGCAGGCATCTGCAAATGCGCAGAGAACTTCTATGGGCCTTGGTGTCAGAATAAGAAGACCTTCTGTAGCGGTAAGCCCCCAATACCGAGAAATTCGCGCGTCAGTTGTAGTAATAAGTGAGTGATCCTGAATTTCCTTGCTTTGGGAAAAAACGACTATTATATTTCAAATTTCCTGCAGCATTTGCAATGCCGAGTGCATGAGCGGCTTTCAATATCCCGATGGCAGTACCATAACGAATCTGGAGTGCGTAGAAGGCGCATGGTTGCATAAGAAGTCGAACTCGGCGAAGCCGCCTGATTGTGGACGTAAGTTTGGAAAGAGAAATATTTGCATACCTTCATGTTAGTTGAAAAACATATTTTTTTTCATTTAATTTCAGCAATTTGCGAACCACCTTGTCAGCATGATGGTCAGTGTATATCCTTTAATGTATGTCAGTGTACGCAGCAGTATCGCGGCGATTATTGTCAACATAGTAAGTGACTTCCTCTACTCCTCTATTTCCTTTTATTTTAGCATCTACTTCTAAATGTTTTCTTTTGACCTTTCATTCCATACTCAAGGCGTACAAGCTTGTAATGTTACCAAAACGGGCTTCAACGGCAGCTACAAATGTAATTATGATGGCCTGGAGGCTAAGTGCAAATTCTCCTGCCCCGCAGTGCCGGGTTTACAAGTGCAGGGTAGCTTGGATATTGACTATGCCTGCAAGTACAGTGAGGGCGAATTTTATCCGAAACCGCTGCCGAAATGCATTTATCGTAAGTTTTTCAGTAAACTACCTAAATAATGAAAACAAATTATTTATGGCCTTTTCCTTCCTATTTTCCAGCACCTGGCTATATTATTCGCCAGGGCTCCCAATCCATGCACTATTCAAAGCATAATGGTCATATCATTGGCGGTGGTGGCGCTGATTTTGGCATGCAGTGGACCACGGAGCGGGAACGCATACTAGCTATACTGGCTAAGTATCAGGATGTTGAGCGCCATAGCGTAAATAGCCAACGTTTTTCTTTAATTTGCTTGATCACATTATGTTAATTTTTTACCTTGGTATCGTAGGAGTGGTGGTCTTCTGAGGAGACAGCAGCTTCCCCGTCTCGCTTCACGCTTTACATGGAGGGCGACATCGATGTGATGATCGATCGTACACCCAAGTCAGCATTGTGCACCACTTGGGGTAGCATAAATATGAAAACGTTCGATGGTCTAGTCTTCAAGTGAGTTTTTTCAAGCGGAACTTACATATAAAACTTAATCTTTGATCTCTGTCTATAATCTATAATC